AATGTGGTGGAGCACTTTAAGAATTCCAGCACACCTACTCATGTTTATTTTAGGTTTGATTTTAAAAAAAGAATTCTTTGCCTTTCAATAGCAACACTCCCTGCCCCCCGGGCTCAGAACATTTTTAAAAGGACGGCATACAATCATGTCGCAATAATACAACTATTCATCAGAGAACTAAAAGAAGTAGGAGTGGTAGCAAAACAAGCTGCAGCAAAAGAATAATGAGTAAAACAAGCACGGCAAAACTGGGATGCCGTCACTGCTGCCTGAATGCTGAGAGAGAGGGAGCCAACCAGGCTTCCTGAGGGAAGGAGTTCCAGAACCTTGGTGCCACTACAGAGAAGGTCCTGCCATGAATCTGAAGCAGCTGTGACTCTGAGCGACATGGAGGACAAACTCCATGATGGGATGGTGAAGCTTAGAGAAGAAAACTGCCCTGCAAATAAACTGAACCCAAGCTGTGTAGTCGATCAAAAACACCTCACAGAAGACTCAGTAATCAATTTCACCAACGGAGCCTTTTAGCAGTATGGCTGCTATGTTTTGCAAGAGCTGTTTCCAAACACTTTTTATAGGTATCCCCTTTAGAGCAACTTGTAGTAACGTAAGGTGGACATGACCAAGTGACTTTACCATGGATAGGTTTGCCTTCTCCATGAGAGTGTATAGCTGGCTACTAGCCAAAGCTGGGCAAAGGCACTCCTGGCCACAGATGCCATTTGGGTATCCCAAAGCAACACTAGGTAAAGCTGCACCCCCAAACTGCACACTTGATCCTTGAGCATATCCCCATTTAGAGCAGGCTGCACACTGAATAATGAAGCCGGGGTCAGACTAGATGGCCCGGGAGACCCCTTCTGACTTGCTCTGTTTCTATGTTTCTATGAAATAGCTTTCCTACTAACCAACAGCAGCTTTGTTTAGTCCAAATTAATTTTCAATTCATTTACAAATTAATGGATTTGAAAGATGGTGCTGGAGGAGAGTTTGGCTGAATACTCCAGATGGACAGAAAGATGAACTGGTGGTTCCCAGATCAGATCAATCCAGAACTTTCCCTAGAAGCAAAAATGACAAAACTGAATCTTGGGCACGTCCAGTTTCACTGGAGAAGGCAATCATGCTAGGGAAAGTCAAAGGCAGAAGAAGAGGAGAGCCAAAGACGAGATGGATAAGTTGTATAAAGGAAGCCCTAGCCTTGGCTTGAGCAGGCCTGTGAAGGACAGGGCATTTTGGAGGCTGCTCATTCATAGCGTTGCCATAAGCTGGAGATGACATGATGGCACAACACAACAATAGCCTATTTAAAACACAGAAAGGTTAAAAAAAACCCGTATAATGCTGAAAACCACATCTGCAAAGGACGAGAATTATTAGCCCTTTACAGATCAGGGCACTGCACACATGGATGAAGTTACAATATTCTTAGAAGCAACTCTGTATGTTCTCAAATCGGCTGGGCATATCTGGATGTTCTCCTGTACAGGCACCCTCCAGTCAGCCTGATGGAAAATAATGCTCTGGCAAACAGTAAATTTGGTTAGGAAAAGCTGTATGTTGGATGAAAGCTTTTCTAGGAGAGAATAAGAGAAAGAAGGGTGTGCTCTCCAGCTGAAGGTGCTGAAATAGTTCAGGTTCTCCCTGAACTGGATTTTGAACTTAGCACACAAGATAAAGTGGCCTTGGTATTATCAATGTAAAGAATGCACACAGAGTGGTTTAAAAAGAAAAAAGAGATAAAGCCCAGTGCAAATCTCTTTATAAGAGAAGGAAGATGAGGCATTCTTGCATAATTAGACTGCGTTGATCACAACAGGTTTGAGAATGGTGAGTTGAGTCTACAAGGTTTATATGTCCAGTCGATTCTCCATTTCTCCTGTGTTCTTCTAAGCTGGGCTCTGTATTAGGCAGACGTGCCAAAGGCACAGAGAAAGGGAATTGTGTTGATAACCCTGCTACGGATATAAACTTGCCTTGATTAGTCCAATGCATTTGCCATGGGTCTGCCCCCTGGAGATTATTCAGAAACCTCAGCAGCCAGATTAAGCACTGGACCCCACTGGTCAGAATCTCTCTCTCTCCTTTGGTGGCTTTCATTCTGTTCCTGGGCAGTGCTGGTTTGGAACCTCTGCAGTTTGGGGTGAGGATATCTGAATCTCCTAATCTTCTCCTTAATTAAGATCCTTAACCAAGACCCTAATGTGGGTACCCTGCCTTGGGAGGTGAGGCAGGTGATGGTCAAAGACAAGGCCATTTCCACTGTAGCACCTGGGTTGTGGAGACTTCTTATGCAGTCACACCTACTTGGCTGACTTCTGAGCACCAAAGGGAAAGACATTTCATTCTCCCTTGAGATGGTATTAGAAGACATTTTCAATTTCTGGCTTGCTGTTGTATGGCTATATCGATATTTCCTTTTATTTCTGTTTTATATACTGTGGATAGTATCTCAGTATTCTAAGTTCAACCTTCTGGTTTTAAAAGCTAGCTAACTTGAAAGCTTGATTGTTTAAATATTTAACATGAAAATATAGTTGTTTTGAGATGCAACATGTATGCATTCCTACATGGTCTTTTCTGCCTCTCTTTGCTCTACACCTGCTCTGTACCATCCAACTGAAACCTGACACAGTACCCTGATTCTGATGTGGCCTGATTCTGCACAAGCAGAACAAATGATTTACTTGGCAGTCTATTTCTGATGGCTCTTTTATACATAACACAATTGTGTGCAGACAGAAGTCACACCGGAGAGCATAAGATATGAAAAAGCAACTCCCATCTGTTTTTTTGCATTTATCCTGTGTTAATAGTATATTCCTCCATGCCAGAAAAATATATTATTTTGTTAGGCTTGCTGCTCCTGAGCCCCCTTTATGCTTGTAAATAACTCAGCAGGAAGTTAATCTATCTTTACCCTTCTGGCAAGCATATAATCCACTTTGGCACATTGTCCTGCTAGTCTGGAATCGGTGAAGAATCTCCACGGACATCCACTTTGTATAATCCCCATTCCCACAGGCAGACTGGCAGAACCATCAATCTGAATTTCAGAGGCTTCTACCAGGAGACTAATCACTGCCATATGGAACTCCACCTCATGGTACAGAAAGACCCCCTTGAGATCTTAGCCATCATTACGGGGTGGTCAGACATGGGCAAAATAAATAGAAAAATGAGATAATCAAACAGATGTGGTGAGCAGTCAGTGGAGGGGAGATATTTCTCCTTGTTGGGAAGAGGAGGAGGAAAATAGCACTTGTTCCCCACCTACATCTAGAAATCACCCCAGGAATGAGTCACTATTTTGTGGTGGCTGCCATGGATGTCTGTGCCATTTCATCTGACATCTCTGGAACTATAAATCCAATTAGCTGCCAGCATGTTCATGTTCTGACAGGCTACCATGCCAGATCCTCCATGTATATAGGATAGGATGCTGGATCTACCTTCCATGGGTGAGGACACCTTCCAAGAGGAGGTGGGTTCTCCTCACAAGAGGTTCCTCCACCCCATTGTAGGAGTTCTCCCCCTCTTCCCCATACAAAGCTCCACCGATTCAGGAGGGCATCTTGATGTACTGCGTAGCATTTTCAGGTGGTAGAAAGGAAGAGGTGGAGAAGTCCACTTCCATAAGTGCAATTTATCCAGCATAATCTGGACTGAACTCATAAGATTTAAGATGATGGCTTGAGTGACACCATTGCAACAGGTGGTCAACAACTTCCATCAAGTGAACCACAAACATCTCCACATGCAAATATGAGACAGTGGCAGAGTCTGTCTCTCTTTGTCCAGAGCTGCTTACCTGTACCCTAGCTACCTAGCTTAAGTATTATTGAGCTGGGGCGGCAAAGTAGAATCACCTCTACCCTAATAGTGGGACAGAATGATCTGTGCCTTCTTCCCCTCCAAAAAGCTGGCAGGAGCTGGGTGGTGGTGGTGTCTATGTGTGGTACAAAGAGCAGGTGCAACCCCTCCCCCCAGTCTCCAGGGCTGGGAATTCAGCAGAACAAAGGGAAGCAAGTAACCGCTGGTTTGCTTTGCTTTAGCCTAAGAAAGGGGGCTTGCAAGATGTGGCTGTTTTGGTGCATGCACATTAAGCTGCAAATGACTCCATGCTTCTTCCACGCCCAGTCCACACCCCTGATTCCTTCACTGGCAGGGCCTGGAAATTCCCTGTTCCCATTACTCGTGGTTAATTACTTGTTAAGATATATTTTACACACCCATGCATTTCCATAAGTACCTTTAATATTTGGCTAACATTGCAGTTTCTCATTTAAAATTCCTAGCTATAACCAAGTCCATCTCTATTTGGAAACAAGTCCTTTTGACACTGACTTTTAAGCCATTCCGTTTGGGATTTTGTATGGAGAACCATGTTGCCACTGGCTTAAAATCCAATCCATTTGGCTGAAATCAGTTGTGAGGTGGACAAAAAGTAGCATTGCTTCCTATATTCTGGCTGTATTGTGGAAGGAAAGTCTCTCTTCTGCAAATTGATCTTGATAGCCACAATGCCATGTTCAGTCCCTGGAATTTTCCAAGCAGGGCTGAAAAAAAAAATCTTGCCCAAAACCCTGGCGAGCCTTTGCTGCCAGTCAGTGTCGACACTACTGGGCTTGATGGATTCATGGTCTGAGTCAAACAGCACAGCTTCCTGAAAAGCATTTGGCACTCTGCTGTTGCAAAGGTGGTGGAGGGCTGTGGAGGGTGGGGAGGTGGATTAGTTTTGGATATAAAATGCATCGGCATTTTTCAAATGTGAAACATTTTTTTAAACATATTGTAACTGTGCTCCAATGGGGAGGGAAACAGAAATTCTGCTTTGGGACCCTTATTCGCCTCTACCTGGAAAATTATTCAAAGAACAAAACCCAGCAGCTTCTGCCAGCCCGCTTTTCCCACACTATCCTTTTCCTAACTCAAGTTAGACCAGAGGATAAGAGGTGATCTGTGGATGAGAAGAGGGGAACCGAAGTGGGGTACTTTACCTACTAGGAAGTCGGAGATGGCCAGGTTCAGAAGGAAGTAATTGTTCTGCGTCCTCAGACTGGAGTCCACCACGAATGCCAGCATCACCAGGGCATTTCCCACCACCGTGGCCACGATCAGCAGAGCCATGAGGACCGCCAAGGCGATGGTCCACATGGTCGAGAACCTCCCCGGGAGCTGATCTTCGACTGCCTTCTCTTGGCTCGCCGAGCCGTTCAGGGGCCATGCTCCGGAGGAGCTGTCCATTTCAGCACCGCGGCGTCTCAGAGGCTCGGGTGGCTGCAGAGAACTGTCCGCATCACTTCCAGCTGGGACTGGGCTGCTACACCTGCCGACGAGGCTCGATTCCTGGCGGGCAGACTCAAAGCCAAGAATCTCTGCATTGTACACATAGCAAGCCCCCTCCCACAGGTCTCAGCAGCAGTCAGAAAGCTGCATTGATCCCCAGGCAGTTGGATTCCTTAAGCGCTCCGTTGGCGACGATAAAACAAAACAAAGAGATGCTGTTTCTTTCGTCCCCTTCTGGATGAATTCTTCCCTGGATGAGGCTGTGGGTTGTTTCTCTGTGACAGCAGGTGCTTCCTGCTGACTGTTTCTACTTCTTTTTCTGAGAGCGGGAGAGAGGAGAGGGGAAAGCGAGAGGATAAAGTAAAGGGCAACCAGCTTGTATTTGGGACTGCTGATCCTTCCTCGGCATTCAGAAGGAACTGCTTAGCTCCTGGCAAAAAGGAAGCTTTGCTAGGGAAGAGTTCAAGGCAGAGGAGGTCCAGCCCAGGAGTTATGTGGATATCGCCAAGCTGAACGGTCATTGGCTCCCATGCGCCAAACTGTGCAGCCTCTCTCTTCCCTTCCCTTCCCACCTGCTAGTTAGGTGTCTTTCAGACACAGCCTTGTAGATGCCACTCGGAGCCAAAAGGCAGGCAGCGTGGTGCACGAGGGAGCTTCGGGACAATGAGCATGAATGATCAATCAGTGGATCCATGGAAGAAAGCGACCATGGAAATGAAACTCTTGTGTTGTGTTATTTCTGCTGAAATAACTTACCGCTTTGCAATAACATCTGTTTCCTTGATATTGATATAAATATTTTCACCCATCTCCAAATGGCTCTGTAAACAAAGGCTGTTTCTTTTCCTGTTTGCCTGCTAAGTTTTATTTATATATATGACACTTTTATCAATGCCCATTACAGCATCCTTTTTGCAGAGCTGGAAAAGGTACAGACAAGGGCAACCAAAATTATTATGGTACTGGAATAACTCCCCCATTAAAAAAAAAAAAAAGTCAATGCGTTGAGGACTAGTTAACTTAGTGGGGGTGGGGAAACCAAGAAAGGGGGAGAACAAATGATAGAGTCATATGAAATGATGCATGGTCTGTAAAAGCAAATAAGGAATCTTTTTCTCTTAATCTGTCATATCACTACATCTTAGGGTTATCCAGTGAAGTAGAATGATGGGAAAATCAATGGGAAAACAAAAGGACAGGCATTCCACTCAGCTCAGAGTTAAACTGTGGAACTTATCACCACAATATTTGATGGTGACCAACTTGGACAGCTTTAAAAGATTAGACACATTTATGGAGAATAAGGCTATCACTGACTAAAAGCCATGCTGGCTGTAGATTATATTATCTCCAGTATCAGAGGGCAACATGAGCTGGAAGGTGCTTGTGTTTGTATCCTGCCTGTGGACTTCCCTCTGGGGCATCTAGTTGGCCATTTAGGAATAGAATGCTGGACTGCGTAAGCCACCTTCTCTCTTCTTGCATCATTGTTTCCATTTTACAGGTGAAAGTCTGAGGCTCAGAAAAGGTGTCTTGCCCCTACAGTCCACAGCAGTACCAGGACCTGAACCTATGTCTTTCTAACTTTTAAGTTTGATTTCTTGGATGATAGTTGATATGCAAATGCTTCTGAGATCCTACTTGAGACAAGCAGAATCCAAAGCAGGTCAAAGAATGGTGCAGTCTTGTAGATAAGCAAGCCATTTTGCTGCCTACATAGAACTCTTCTACAGGTGGAAAAGACAACTTCTATTTGTTCCATCTATGCTGAACATTCATGATGCAACAGAAGCCTTCAAAAGTATGGGCACCGGGGCTGCCACAACATGTCTGGCAGAGAAAAGAAGAACAGGGTACATGGTATTACAGGATGCAGTGAGGAACATGAAAGAGAATCAGAGAGAACTGCTGGTCATAGGCAAGCACAGTGTACAGCTGTGATAGCTCAGAAAAGTGTCTCTTGTGTTTGCATTGGCTGCAAGCCAAGCCAAGAAGCCAAGGTGAGTCAAGTCAGGATCCAATGGCCAAGCCACAGCAACGGGCTCCTGAGTCAACAATGTCCTGATCCCAGTGGATGACATTGTGAGCTACTGTGGCTTCTTAAAGGGATAAGGCCTGAATGGCTAGCTGGCCAGCCCCTTTAGCAATCTCTGGGGTCTGAACTGGGCCTTTAGTCAATGCGCCGGGCAGGCAAGCCCTGCCTTGCTGTGTGGACCTATTTCTAATCTCCCCGCCACAGTCCTTCATCTGGATCCTGCACAGCTCCCCCTGCACGGTCTCTGACCACCTCCTTGCAAAGGTTTTGCTAGGATTAAAAGCTTGATGTTTTTGGAGAGAACCTGTGCTGGACACCTGAGACAAAACACAAGAGCTGAGCTGAGCCAGGCCAAGAGTCCATCTAGTCCAGGGATGGAGAACCTTTTCCAGCCGGAAGGTTGCATTCTACTTCACAGAACGTCTTGCCATCCGTGTTGCAGTGGGTGTGGAGCAAAAGACAAAAAAGGATGAGGCCAAACCCTGGTATATTTTAGTTTGCTGCTTTCACTACCAGTAACTTAACCTTAAGAAAGGCATTTCAGCCTTTTAAAATGGGGAGAAAACTGCACAAAAGCTGGAAAACTACCAAATACGAAGCAGCAGAGAGAAGGGAGTAGAGCCGGAGAAAGGAGGTACGGCCTGGCTCTGAAGTTCTGAATTCCTGATCCAGTCTAGCTTTCCATTTGCATATATCAGTGATGCAACGCACGAGGCTTGATGCTTTTCATTAAGTGCCTCTTGCTTTTTTAACTTACAGAATTATACATAAGTTTCAGGTCTTATCTTCAGATATGTTTTAGGAGTGACAGTAATGGATTTTCAACTTGGTTCTCTCCTCACAAAAGGCTGACTAGCGGTGACAGTGACAGATTTTCCAACTCTTTTCAGAGATGGAGGAAATAATGCTAGGAGTGGTAGAGAGAGATCTTGAGTTCTACCAGCTCCCTATCCTTCTCCAGTTCTGCAAAAAAATTAGCAGTTTAACTCTTAACAGGCAAAGATTAAGCAGGCATTGGTCTGTAGTTTGCCCCTGCAGTATCCCTTAAGAGTTAAACCATACCTTGTCTCTCCTGGTTTAAGAACATAAGAATTCAAACCAAGGCTTAAGCTACTGCAGCATGCTATTCACAGTGACCAGCCAACTGTTTGCTCTCTGTTCTTAGACCTTGCCTTTGGACCTGACCCTGACTAATTCCCTGGAGACCTGTTGTTACACCACTGCAAGCAAGCCAGGCAGAATGAATGAGCTATCATGGAAAGAACTGTAGCTCAGCAATTCAGTGCAAGCTTTGCAAACATAAGGTTCCAGGTTCCATCCTGGCCTCTCTTCCATAGAGAATTGTAGGTATTCCATTCACAGAGGGGAAATGGAGAGAGGACTGCTGCTGGTCAGACCAGACTGTTCTGTTCTGGGCTAGCTGGTCCAATGGGTCTTAAGTATAAGTCAGTTTCAAATATAAGAGGGCTCTATAGTGTGCTTTCCTGTACATGATTAATATGAAATTTGTGCTTTTATTTACCTGGGTCTCCAAATACTCTTCTGGAGCAGAATTTCTATGCTACCTTCCAAGAATCACTGGAAAGGAGTTATTCTTTTGGTGGTGCAGCCAACAGGGGTGAATGCAGACATTATGGAATGTTACTGGAACAGTAACTTGGTTTGCACTCGCTTGTTCTCCCAGCATTGACTGATGCATCACAATTGCTTGCATGCTGGATGAGACAGGATAGATCTGGCAACATCCTTGGCTCTGTGGCCACCTGAAGTGCAACACTTTACACAGGAGTCCATGCATCGATTTGGCTGCTGATTGCCATGTAGAGCAATCGAGCCCAGAGAATTGCAATGCTGCCTTGTGCGTGAACTAACCCAGTGTTTCTCAAGTTACCACAAAATATAGGTATTCAGTTCCCAAGACAGTGGAGAAAGCAGCATTGGTATTCACCATGGAACAAAATCCTCACTTGCATTCTGCTTCTCCCTGGGGTTTTCAGTCGCAAAAAAAAAAGCAAAAGAAAAGCATCCCTATATGCTTTCTACTGCCATAGAAATCCTGGACCTGTAAAGGAACGCTGGAAAGGTCTTCATCACCATGCTTGACACTAAGCTGTTTAAGTCCACCTCAACTTCATCACTTGAGCAAAAAAGCCAGCCTTCAGGTCCAGCGTGACTGGGGAAAGGCAGTTTGAGAAAGGCAGTTTGAGTGCTTTGTTGTCAAAGGCACAAGAGTTTGTAGCAACAGTTGGAGTTGGAGTGAAAAGGATTTGATAGTTGCAGTTTATTGTTTGAAAGGAAAATGAAGGTATACCTGTTGTTGTTGTTGACTTTAAGTTTTTCAGAGTTGTTGTTGTTGTTGTTGTGACTTTAAGTTTTTCAAATACAAAGACAGACATAGGAACAAAAGAAAAAGAACAGCAATCACATCAAGTTTAAAACTATTATTATTATATTTCATTCCTATAACAGCCAAGAGCTGAAGATCTTTGGGTGGGTGGTAACCATTCATCAACAGAGGCACAAGAAGAAATATGGATGACAATAAAAATACAAGTACAATAAAATGCAGCATAACATTCCAATATCCAGAATCTAAACCAGTTTAGACAAGTAAAGCAACTTCAGTAAAAAAATAGACTTAGTCCAGGAGAGCAATTGCAGAAACAGTTAAATTAAAATTCAACTCTCAGATTACCTGTGAACAAATTAGCCTACTGATGCCTGAAACTACCTCAACCATGAGACCCATTGGGCCGCCTAGCCCAAAAAAGACTAATAAATGCAAAGTGCAGTCTATTTTATGCTATCTGGGGCATGCTGGAAGTTGCAGGCCTTTCTTCAGTTGAAACTTGCAAAGGATTGCCCTGTTAGGGTACAACAGTTAGGGTACAACATTCCCCTCTTTCACTTACAGACAAAAATG